TGATGTCAACTTCACATGTCGTCTTGACAAATAGTTCAAAAACTGTACATTTCGTGGTTATTTACCTCTAATAGGAAACATTACCAACGATTAATCATCTTTCACGTTAATGAAGCACAGTTCATTTGACCTTGACTGTATTCCTATTGATTTTTTGTCTAGTTTCCACAATATAAACACATATACATTATGGATATTTAAGTTTTCTGTAAGAATTAGTTATAAAATTTAACAATTTTTAGGATAATTTTATTTAGTGACTCTGGTGTTCTTATTCACTGAAACGGTAACTTCAGATTTCCAGTTGTGATTCACACGTAATAGTTTTTAAAATCTCACTAATATCTAAATATTCTGTACAGGCGTTCGCGTTACTTGTTAGCCTAAAAATGTTTTGTTAGAAGTAAAACGAAATCATATTTTTCCTATAAACTTCATTGAATTTGCTAGATATTCATTGCTTTGTGATGAACGTGATCAGTGCATACCTACACATTCGAATACTTTCGTTTCGTGATATGGTATGACGTTTTAGCATAACTCTTCAGGTTTTAGATGACACCTTTGTGGAGCTGACTGATATAGAGGAATAGTCAACCACTGTGATGTCTTGTCCATGGTGTCAGGGATTTATGATCAGCCTAGTAAATGAGATCAGTAAAATATTATTTTAATGGACCTCACGTGAGGTCCAAGTTAATTGATTAGAGAAAATTCTAAAATTAAAGCGCCTATCCACTATTTATCATCTCTCCTACCACCAACATCTGGACTTATCTGTTGTGAAGGTGGAATTGGTTTCTTCTAAAAAGCATTCAGGTAAAATTCAAGAGCAGTTGACAGCGTCAACCACGATTTATTCATTGAGATCTATCCAACAATGCGTATTTTGCACTTATCCCAAGAGAAGACTGGATTAACTGGACTTCATCGACACTGACAGAAATTTATGCAGAGCTATGGACAAGCTGGTTATAGGTCGCAGTGCAATTCAGTTATATAGTACCGAGTTCTTTCAATTCCATAGTGCACAGTATTTGTGAGCAGATTTACTCCACTCCCCAGTTAATAACGTCGGAGTAAGGGAAATGAAGTTGGAACTAAGTGAGTGTCAGACATCGAAGCAGATCATTTATTTCTCGATCTCGATAAAAATGTCATGAGTTAGTCCAGTATGCTTGGTCACAGCTCATCTCCTCAGGCCTTTTTGAGTCCCAAGCTATAAGGGAAACTTATTGGATGGGGACTGACCATACCATCCAATTACCAGGGCTAAATTTGGTGGTGGTGGGATTCGAACTAGTAATCCAGTAGCTGCAAGTCAATTGCTTACACCCGATGCACCACAGCTTCCTGAGTAACAGAGTAAGCTACATCATCCCAGTAGAGGTAAACTTAAAAATTAGTTGTAGTAATTAACTTTTATTTATTTTCTTTTAAATGGCTGACCAGGCGAACTGTTAACTCTACGCTAAATAATTCAGTCAAGTTTTAGAAAAGTACAAAGAAAAACACTTATGGAACATGTTTTACGTACATCAATAAGAAAATGTTTATTGCCTTCAAAAATGACGCCAGTTCTCAGCGAAACCCCTTCTAGAAGTACTTTTCTTTTTCTTACAATAAAATTAGTCTCGAAATTATTTATTTTTAATACCTCATTATAATCTTTTGAAATGGCGACTAATACTGTTGACTATGCCATCTATTTTATAACTCCTCCAACCTAGTGTTGTTTTGGATGATAGTGAGTAGCAGTGGAATTCATGATGCACATCTTGTTCTATTTGGGACTTGTCATCTGAATGTACTTGAGAGTCCTCAGTCAGTCGAGTATAATCAATCAACGGGAAATGTAAACTGACCAAAACACAAATAACTTCTAACCATACACATTTACCTTGTAAACTTTTTAGGCGACAGGGTAGATCCAGCTTTGTTTGTTATAGAAGTCGAAAATCACTAGAAGAGATGATATTTCTAAGCCATCGAAGTGTAAACGAAAAAAAAACAGTGGGACCATTGATGCACTGACCATCTTACATCAAGTTCACAGAAGACAAGTTACAATAAATAAAAGGATCTAATATCAAACACATACGATTTATGATGGGAAATTAATCAAAAAGAAGGAATCATTGTCCACCGCTCCATCAAGGTTCAAAAGCAATTATCTTTATAAAAGAAAACAAAGTGAACACAATATCCAGACTGATACTAAGAGTTGTGAAAATAAGAACGGACCTCTTGAAGATAGAGAAACTAGGAAAGGCTTAAAACTTCATTATCAAATATACACGCACCAATGCATCAGGATATGAATAGACACTGTTGTATTTTTGATATGAGTACAGGTTTAAAAGACAGTTACCGATTGCTAGCTCATATATGTGCGTTACAGATCTTTCTTTTATTCCTTTGCGCTCAGGGTAGAACATAAGGCTTCAGAGTTGAGCTTTGAAGCTTAAATAGCTGTGGGTTTCCTCTTTACAGAGTGGGACTCCTAGTCATTTTCCAACCTTCCTTGTCTACCTGTCTAAGAGAGGTTTAGCAATGTATCATCCGGGGATCGAACCCCAGGTCTCCTACTTTGTTGTTCAGCCTTATACAACTGAAAAACCAATGCACAGATTACAGATCTCATACACGTTATTATCTTTTACAAATGACATATGAAAATGATGGTAATCATATATATATATATAGAGAGAGAGAGAGAGAGTGACAGAGATCTTTCTGATTAATTTTAGAAGGAAAAATGATAATCAACAAATCATCGTCGATACTTCGTGAAGAATAACATTATCAACACTGTAGCACTTTTGCTAGGTGACTAACTGTTTAAGAGATGTTAAAAAAAATGGCAGGAATGAAAAATTAGACAACTCTGAAATCATGAACCCTCACTGTCAGACAGATATGATAAACAGCGTGGTATATTCTTACAGGGAAACAAACAAAGTGTGATGACCAGTACAACAGGCAGACGATTATTTAATATCGAATGTTTCATCGCACAGACTTCAATCAAATGGACAAATACTACTGTATCTACTGTGAGATCTGAATAGTTTTCAAACTTTGTTACCTATTCCTGTAAAAAGTACAGAACAAAATCAGTAACTTGTCATCATTAGATTAGTGATAAACTTTAAAGATGGATGTCGGCTTTAAGGTCACTATTAAGATCAATGGAAACCTATAAAGGAGAACAAAATGTGTGTGATTCAGTGCCTTCTGAAGTCGCTGAATACCATCATCCACAACCCCTCAAAAACGCTAATTTCAAAAAAATAAAATGCTCATATACTTCTAGCCGTTGAGTAATGTCTCAAGAGAACAAATGCTACTTTTGGCGTTATTTCTATGTATATATTAAAGCAGACTCTTTAGAAGTATCAGATATATCAGCGTGGTGGAATACTTTAACAACTGGAGTGTCGGAATTTCCATCCATCCTAATGCATACACTGTTCCCTACCTCTTGTTATTTTATCCTTCCATTCGAGTCTTTAGATTGCAACATGGTGAACTCATGCGCTTTGTTTCAACCTACCGCTGTAGATTTCAAGATGAAAAGAAAGAAAAATTTCCAAAAGGATTGAATTATCTTTCAGCTAGAATGATGTCGCATCATGCTGACGGTGAATATTTTACTGGAAGATTACATATGAAGAGTAAATATTTTACAAGAAGTGAGGTGTGGATAATTCTGTATGGTGCATAAATATAATTTCTGAAATAAAGCTGATATTATTATTAGTTTAGACCTTTTTATGCTCCCTTGGTAAACTTACATATCGCATGAATAAACTTAACTACTAGGGCCAACATATTAAATGATTCTGAAGTTTGTTTTCTTTTCCTTCTCGCCACCATGTGCATGGTCGGCGAGCATCCTAACCGCTATGCCACCGACGCACGAAGTTTGTTTTAAGTTACTAAAAAATGTCGTTTTGTGGTTGTATTACCTAACTTTCAGTTTAAACAGAGATGTGTGGATCTGAAGCCTAGAATACCACTCAATTCAGAAGATAAAGACAGAACCTGAGAGTTCTACGATGCGAATAAATTAGTTTATGAAGAAGATATGCCTTCAGTCTAAGGAAATAGAAAAGCATTTAAAGTTGTAAATTACTAGGAATAAAAAGTGTTTTTGAAAATTCTATCATCGTGTTCATAAGTGGTTTCATTATACTACGAATGACTGAGTCACTACAGTCAGACAACTGGTGTTTTATAACTTCTTTCCATTTCGTGATGCTGTATTATGAACAACCAGTGTGATCGGTGAGTAATTTTTTTAGAAACCTCCTCCAGCTGACTTTCGAAGAGTATGAGACCAGGTCAGTAGAGTTTAGTGATATCGTAAGAAGTATATTTACATGTTTGTAATGTGCATTTATTATTTACTAACCAGGAGTAATGCTCACTTAGCCTAATTAGTTTTGAGCTACAAACTGGTATCTTTATTTCATCCTAGATATCATCGTGAATTGATATCAGTTAGGGAACCATTGAAAACCAGAGAGTATTGGACAAGTGTCTCATCCTAGTGTCAGTTTCTTCAGCTGTACTCATCCGTCACCCAGCTAGGGATCTGAGCCAAGGTCTTCCGTTTACTATATGGTCACGGTAGGCTTCAGCTACAGTCCATGAATTATAATTTCTTCCATAACGCGATATTTTGTCATCTTCATTTTTATTACAGTGAATAATATTATGAGCTTGGTTTCTGGGTGTATGTGAAGCTTTCAGCATAAATGTGAAGCGCTAGTTATAATGACAACATAAATCCACTGAGTGAAATTACTGTCACTCAGTGAACTGATACACATTTGCATTCGAATATCATACAATGAACATTTTTATACACTTTGTCAGTCTGATTACAAGTGCAGTCAACTGGTAATATTTTGATTCATACAAATGTGTATAAACATAAACATGTGTAATTAAATATGGTGGAATACTTTATTAAGAATATATTGTTTACTTACATCTCGTGACTTGAGTCCAGATGAAGGAACTGGAGGCCAACGATAACTTGACATGCTTTATTTAATCAATAAACTAGTTCACGTCACAGTGGGATGTCCTTTTCTCATTTATTAATTTATTTAATCATTCCAAAAAGTGAACGGATTAAAAGGTTACATAAAATATTACGTATGTTTGTGCGTGTATATATATGTTTGTGTGTGTGTGCGCGTGAAAGCGACGGGGAGAGGTGAAAGAGGAGGGAGAGAACAAAAACGTTTCACCAGTTTAACTTTATATATCTTTTTCTTATTGTTCTAGATTATTGAAATAAGTATTAGATAATCTTGCTGCGTTCTTTTGTTGAAATGTTTACACATCGGTTTGTTTTTTCCTCTGGACTTATCATTTTGATTAATACTGATAAACAGGATAGATAAATTCGATAACAATAATAATAATGATAATAATAATAGTAATAATAATAATAGTAGTAGTAGTATTAATAGTTATGAAATGTATCTGTCGTTATAACTGTCAAATAAATTGAGAGTAAAGCGCACACAAAAGTGTAGGCAAGTGAACAAAATAAAGAAAACGAACAGATGCACTTTCTTGTGGTTAGAAGAAAAGTATTCAATGTTCAATGCATTAATTAAAATTCAATCAACACGACACGTGCACCAACAATTATTCCACATTAAGAGACAAAAAAATTTTTGCCACTTTTCTGGGAAGAAAAAAGCAGCAAACAAATTAGTATCCTCACTCAGTACGAAATGTATAAGAAAGAATAGAATAGAAATAGAAATTTAATTATAATTTTAATTTTTGAGAAATTGAAAAGTGTGTAAAAGTTACTGACTGACTGGTTTATAAGCAGTGATTGTGAGCGAAATGAGACTGAACTTTCCCAATGATCAGTGTGTTAGTGTGATAGTCTGTAATATTCAATTCATCCTACCGACAAACAAACAAACAAACGATATATCATGTCCACACTGTGTCTCTATGTCTATGCATATGTGCAAGTATACATCTATGTCTGTCTCTATGTTTGCATGTGTTGTGTGTAGATGCTAGTCTATTAGTGCTTCATACACACAGTTTCAATCTTATGGGTACTGTTCAGTGTTAACGATGGCCTCTACTGTACTAGTAGGTATGGTTGCATACACAGATGCTTAACACTGTTGGTCGGATTGTATTGATTGGAATTGTGTGTAATTTAGCTGAATGGGAGAACTGGTGAATATAGGTGAATATATACACATCCATTTGTATACATAAATATATTATGTATACATAGGGAGATAAACAGATAGGGAGGGGGGAGGCTTCAGTGAATCCCATCCCGCTTCTCTTAGTAGTTATCATCGTCACCTTATTTTGTATTTGTGCGCTGGGTAGTTGAAGTGTTATAACTCGACTATTTATATTTTCTTTCCTACTTAAAGTAAGCATCTGTATAGATTTTTCACTCTAAAAGGATTCATGTATGTATGTACACAGATATGCATGCATACGTAAATGTGTGTACTATGAGGGAAACATGAAAATATTCAGGACAGTAGACAGTCGGTGACGATCACTAAAGCAAATATGGTTAGATGTATATATTTTCAAACCATATGACATAGTTTCATTTTAATTTTCTTATACGATCAATGCTGAAAATCTTTTTTAGTGTTTTTTTTAAAATAAGGTGAAAAAGACCCTTCGAAATGAATATTATTCATTAATAAAGATTTAAATATTTAATGCCTAGGTGGAAACATTTTTTCCACTGGTTAGAATTTTTAGGTGGATATATTTTATAGATTGTGATGTGACTGTATCCTACTAGCCGAGTATTTTGTATTGCAAATCTTACGTTGTCCTTTTAGACAGAATCTTTAAGATCATCTTTCAGATGATGTTGGGCTCATTGGTAATCGTCAGCAAGACGTACATGCAGTCTTGAAGGAACAGAGGTCTCCTATGAGATTGAAGCTGGTGTCATCCAGTGGCGCGCTCACTGGTGCTTTTTATTATATTATTATTGTTCCCTTGAGTTCCTAGTGGAACATAGGGCTTCAACTGCAGGTCTCCACTTGCTTCTGTCTTCCTTCTGTTGTACTTTTCACCTGCATCCATCTTAGTCCATACTTTTTCAACTCCTCTTCACACGATCTCCTCCATGTCACCCTTCCACTGACGTCCCACTCGCCGCGTGCTTCTCTTTCGGCCTGGTTCCACTCGAGCAATGGCCTGACGCGAGCGCGATTTCACCCAGCGGCCTCCTCAGCGAGCGAGTGTCCAATCCATCTCCACTTTCTCCTGCATATTTGTTAGTGGGCGATTGGTTTTTGTTTTGTTTGTTCCTTCACATAGTTTCTTGTTGGTGATTCTTTCCGGCCCGGCCATCAGATCTTCAGGATAGAGGAAAGACAGCTGTTGATAAAGGTAACGTCTGCAACAGGCTGTTGGAAATCTCCCTTTTGACCCACCCGCCAAGTTTCTCATCCGTATAGAAGAACTGATTGACTTGACGTTGTTTGTATTGAAAATCCGACTGATGTTGATGTTTGTTGTTGATGCTGGCTGAGTGACGAAGATTTCCAGATTGGTTGTTTCAGGTTGATGAGTGAATGTGTTTCTCGCTCGCCTTCCCGATTCTCGCTCAATTTGACATCCTCGTTGGTTCCGACTGAGTGTAGTTGAGACAATGCTCCCTCCCTAGATCAGTGAGTGGATGAAGTGACCTCTTTCAAATCCCTCCCGTTGATGGTGATTGGCGCTGGATGTTGTTTCTGTTGTTGTTGTTGCTGTTGTTCTTGGTTGGCTGGTTATTATCATAACCTCCGTCTTGTTCACCTATGTTCACTTGGAGTCCTGTCTTCACCGGCTGCTTCTTCAACCAGTTTGTCGGTTTTCGTTTGTAAGTCTTCGATTTTGTGTGTGTGACATCAAACATAAATCATCCACGCGTGAAATCAAGGTCTTCTAGGTTCTTCACGTAGGTCGGTCCAGGATATCCCTGTCTGCTAATTTTCCACTGTCTGACGCATAATCCAGTCAGCCCACCACAGTTAGGAATATCACTGGTAATAGATAATAAGCCCCTTTGTCTGACTCCTCACTGATGACACTAATGAGATATTAATTTTGAAGTTTGTGCTGAAGATGCTGTCGGAAAAGAAAAAGGAAGCTTAGCAAGTCAAACCACTTAGTTCACGAAACACAAAAGTATCGAAAAATCTGCCTTCATGGAGAATTATTTGCAGTATTCCAAAAGAATACGTGAGAAATGTGTTCCCATGTGTCACTTAAGCTATTTCTAAGGTAGATTCGGTTACGAGATAACATTAGTGTTGCATAGCCATCGAAAACAGGAACGTTGAAAAGCTATTCCGTTTTAGTTTTTGGCTCTTAACATCTTTATTCATCATTGTGCACCATGAGTTTGATCCTTCGTAGGTTCCCAAACTGCAGTGAAACAAGAGAGCCTGGTGTGCCTAGGTTTTTTAAGGTTCTATAACTGATATAGGTTGGAGTGGAAATATATCTTGAAATCAATGAAATTCTCACAAACGCGAGACTTGTGAATCCTTTTTAATTAACCAACATTCTGAGCAAAAAGATTAGTTGTTATGAACTGACTGAAAAGTTGTGTGTAACAATGGAGAATTTCCAAGACGATATCACATTAAAAATGGACTATAGCTTAGTAGTTCATTGATAGTCGGTTAGGAAATCATAATAAATGACAGGTAGGGAAAAAGTTTCCAGTTAAAAGGTAATTTTTTTAAACAAAACAACACATTGGAATAAAGAATACAAGCTCCCAGTCACTACACTATTTTAAAGTGGTGATCATGAATAGACAATACTGACCAATAAATCAGTGTTCATCAGACAACACAGAATCTTGTTAACACAAAAGTATTGATATCAATCATGAGTGGTGCTTCTAGTTTTGAATGACAAAAGTTTCTATGCTTTTTTTAAAGGTGACCACCTTGATCTAATTGAATGATAATCTGCATTACGAATAACTTGAATATTGTATTGTTCTTTGGTTGACTGGTTGTAATTGTAATGGAAAGCTTCACTACTTTGAATTGAGCAGAAACCACTAATCAATATCTGACTAGATCTCCGACGCAGATGAAGGATACTCAGTTAATTGATTTTAGATTTAACCGTATGGATTCCCATATTGTATCCAGATCGGTTAAGTGTCCGGCATCTAGAAACCCCTAACTGCTTTCTAGTTACCACACAGTCCAGTATTTCAAAATTTTTACAAACCAATAGTTGAATATCAATGAGATGCTCACTAGCGACTAGCCCTATTAAGGTAGGTAGTTAGTCACTTGGGGTGAACCCCAGTGTGGTGAGAGCAGGCTGCTAGCCAATTGGTAGACATTAATCGACGCTGATTGGTAGACATTAATCTAGGCTGATTCAACAACCAATCACAGCAGACTTAAACGTGGGCAAATATGATTCGCAGATAAATGGCTCTACTCTCCGAGAAATATCGAAAACAACCAATCAGGAGACTGTGTTTGTCTGCTTAACTTCCGAGAAACAACCAATTAGAAGACTGCCTTTTTCTGCTTGCATAAGCCTTATTAATGTACATAAAATATATATAAATACGCGTTGATTTTCGTAATAAAACGATCTGTTGCCTGGCCCTTGTCTTCTGTTGTTACATTTGGTGTCGCTGCCTCCAGAAAAATGAAGATCCCGTGGCCAACTGCGTTTGAAGAAGGAGACATACGGAGCTTCTTACGTGACTTCGAGGCCGTCGCTGAGCTGGTGGGTGTCAAGGAGCAGGCGGCGAAGGCAGTTGTTCTGGGGACGCTGTTGAGAGGCCGAGCGAAGGCGGCATATGACAGCGTAGACAGGTCAAATGGCACAGTGTCTTGGAAGAAATTGGTTGAAAGTTTGGTGTCGGAGTTTGACAGAGCAACAGACAGACAGCTAGCGATGCAGCAGTTCCGGTCAACGAAGCTGGGACCTGATGGAGACCCGTTAGTATTGGCGGTGACATTGACGAATTTACTTCGACGGGCGCTTCCCA